AAATGTGTGGAGTTTTTTTATGTGGGATGCTAGAGGCATATAGTTAACCAAATGCTGGCATCTTGCAATGCACAGTACAGGTCAGCAAAACAAAAAATTGTCCTACATCCCACATGGCTTTCAAATGGCCCAAGGGACATTTATGGACATAGCAGTTGACAGAACCCTCACCTGGGTTCCTTGACCTATTACTAAGTGCTATTATATTAGCAAAAGCCAGTGGAAGCCCTTGAAACTTTCTGTGATTCCCAGCCAAGACTGTAGACAAAAAACAGTATTGCACCCTAAAGGGAATGGTAGAGATTAGCGTCACTTTGAAAGACTTAATGCAGGGATGGTGGTCCTATCACATCCCCATTTAATTCACTAATTTGGCCTTTGCGAAAAATGAGAAATCATTGTGCATGAAAGTGGACTGCTGCAAACTTAGCCAAGTAGTAGCCCCAAAGGCAGCAGCTATGCCAAATGTAATATCTTTATTGGAGCCTTCACATACAGGCAAGAGACAATATGCTTTCCTTGTCTTGCCTGGGGCCACATTAACTTACACACTCTCTGTCATAACATGGTCTGAAGGTACCTGAACGATCTGGACATTCTTCAGAACATTGCATAGGTCCACAATGTCAATGACATCATGTTAATCAAATCAAATGAGCAAGAAATGGCAAGCACTTGGAGGCCTTGTGGAAGGGGAGAAAAACCCCATGAAGATTCGTGGGCCTGCCACGTAAGTGATCTTTTTAAGACTCCATAGTCTTGGACCTTTGGAAGGCCATCCCTTCCAAAGTAGAGGTCATGTTAATGCACCTTGCACTGCCCCTACCTTTAAGAAAGAGACACCATGCCTTATAGGTCCCTTATGTTTTGGAGGAGCATATACCACACTTGATTTATCTACCATGTGACATGGAACTCTTCTAGCTTTGAGCGGAGCCCAGAGCAGTAAAGCACTCTTCAGCAAGTCCAGGTTGCAATGTAAGCAGCTCTGCAACGTAGGCCATACTTTGGCACACCTGATGGTAATTAGAAGTATCTGTGGTGTGAAAAGATGCGTTTTGGAGTTTATGGCAAGTTCTAGTAGTAGAATCACAATGTTGACACCTAGGGTTCTGGAGAAAGGCCATTCCATCTGCAGGAGAGAATTATATACCATTTGAAAAGCAGCTCCTGGCATGCTACTAAAGTAGACATACTGGTAGAGTTAAGAGACTGACTATGGGACATCAAGTGACCATTAAACCAGAACTGCCCATTATAAGGTAGGCACTGTCAAATCCACCAAGTCATAAAGTTGGGTGGGTGTGCAACAATCCATCGTAAGATGGAAGTAATACAACCTGGATCAGGCACGAGCAGCACCCGACGATACCAGCTGCAGGAGTACCTGCCCACACTCCAAGGTCGCCCACTACTGCTGCACCCATTCTTCACCCTGAGCTCAACCTGTGGTTGCATGGCGGGCCATCCCTTAGGACCAGCCGGCAGCGGAGAATAGAGCCTGAGCTTTGCTGACAGATGTCAGCTCATATGGGGATGCAAGCCAAAATGGATTGCTGCAGTCTTGCAGGTACACTCAGAAGTGGCCTGAAAGACAGTAGTGAGGGGAAATCCTCCCAAAGGGCAGAGCTCCCAGCATTGCAACTACTCATCCACTTTTTGTGGAAAGAGAAGTGGTGTGGTGTCAGAATATATAGAGATTCATGGGCAGTGGTGAATGGCTTAATTTATTGGTCACAGGCCTAGAACAAATAATAGAAGATTGGGAGCAAGAAAGTATGGAAAAGAAGCATGTGTATGGACATATGGGAGTGGTTATAAAGCATGAAGATTTTTGCATCGCATGTTAACACCCACCCAAGGACATTCATCATGGAAGAGACACTACAACACGAGGTAGAAGAAAATGACTTAGCCAGCTAATGTCAACTTGCTTTTGTCCTCAGCCATCCCAAAATAGGGACAATGGGGTTATGAATGTACTAGCTATTGTGGCAGTGATGGAGGCTATACCTGGATACAACAGTGTGGGCTCCCACACCAAAGATGATCTAGCTACTGCTGCTGCCAAAACAGAGTCCAACATTGAGCCTCCGGTTTCGGACCATCCCTGGAGGAAACTGATCAACCACTCTTGGTGAACTGATTACATTAGACCCCTTCCCAACCAAACCTGAAAAGGGCTCAATTCATTTTATAGGAATTGATACATATTCTGGGTATGCGTTTGACTTTCTTGCCTACAATGCCTCAGCTAGCCCTACTATCCAAGAGTTCACATACTGTCTGATCCATCAGCATTGGCTCTTGCATGGTACCACAGTGGACCATGGGACCCTGTTTATAACAAAGATATATGGACATATGACCATGGGATCCACTGGTCCTATCATATACCACATAATCCTGAAGCTGCCAGCTGATGGATCAATAGAATAGTCTTTTGAAGTCACAGCTAAGGTATCAACTTAGAGATGACACCCTGAAGCCTAGGGTACTATCCTTCAGGATGTGGCATTCATCTTAAATCAATGATTATGCTATGACACTGTGTCCCCAAGAAGTAGAATACATGTATCTAGGAACTAAGGGTTGGAAGTAGGAGTATCCATGCTTACCATTACTCCCACTGAACCATTTAGAAAATTTGTGCTCCTGTCCCCACAACTCTAGACTCTGAGTTTCTAGAGGCCACGGTTTCCAGAGGCAGAATGCTTCCACCGTGGTACACAGCAAGAATTATATTAAACTAAGCTACACCTGCTGCCTACCACTGCCAAGAGACCAGTAGGCAAAAAAATGATTCACTCTCCCAGCAGAATGAATATCTCTTTATCATCAGGAGAAGTGAGGGCTGCAGGGAGCAAGGAGTATACACATAGAACCCAAGTGTTCACAGCCTGAAAAAGCCATGTCAACCAGGGGCTAGAATCCTCAAGCTATGTCTTCCCTTATGTCAGCAGAAGTGCTGGCTGAGGCCGGGAGCAATCTAGAATATGTAACAAAGGAGGGAGATGATGAATGTCAGTTGGGGCCCCCAGAACAGCTGTATAGTGGGACTGAAATTTGTCCCACTAACTTTCCTTTTATAAGCTTCTTCAGGAAAAGAGATCAACCAGAGTCCTGAAAAGGTGTTTAAGGATGGGGTGAAATTATTATATAGCAAGTGGATCCGAGCAGTGCAAGGGGTCAACTGTGTGGATGCTGGTGGTGCCACCAAGGTGCCCCCTTGAGGACCACTCACTCCCCCAGCTGCCAGGCTTGTGTCCCCCGAGGGCTCACAGCTGAGCCTTTTCACAGGAACTTTCCTCAGCCGAAGCAGCTGCCTCCCCCAAGTTCACATCCCCTCTCTGGGAACAGCTCACATCCAAGAGTAGATGATGTGCCAGTGGCCTCAATTCAGGACCGCTCTGAGGGGTCATCCCAGCCTAAGAACCCCCGTGGGATTGGCTGAGCTCTCTGTTGCCACCTCGTTGTAGCTCACCTTCTCCCCCTGCCCAATCCCGCTTCCTTCCCTTTCAGGTGCTGTCCCTGTTCCCCCTCAAGGAGCCACCTGCACACACATCTCCATCTCAAAGTTTGTTTCCCAGGGAACCCAAATGGTGACAACGCACATTTAGAGATAAGAAGGCAACCACCAGAAAAAGCAGTTTATGAAGTTAAAAGTGGTTTTCGCTAGGGAGAGGAATTGGACTGAGGCGCCGTGGGGCAGGGGACTGTTATACATCCTGCTGTGCACTGCATTGTTTTTAGTGTGTGCATTTATAATTTCCATATTTGAAATTTTTTTTGTTTAAAATTTTAAAGGATTTGACACTGTCACTCCCCTGTTTTAAACCCTTCCAAATTGCTTTCCAGTGCCCTTAGAAGAATCCTTGAGAATCTTTAACAAGGCTTGTAAAGCCCTCTCCAGCGGACCCTGCTGATTTTCAGATCCCATTCCTTGCCACTCCTGCGCACTCCGTCAGTTACCTGTCTTTCTGGACCTCCAGATTCTTGAATGGGCCTCTCTTCCTCATCTCCGGGCTTCCGACATGCTGCTCCCTCTGTCTGGAATATTTACTGTCCTCCCCTCCACCTGGTTCTCTCCTATTCATCCATCACTTTTCAGCTTAGATGTCACCTTCTCAGGGAGACCTTCTCTACCCCTGACTATTTTCGGCCCCCCTTTTGTCACTCCCGCAGCACTTATATTTCTGCTTCCTCAGCACCAATCTCCTGAAATAATCTGTTTAACGTCCACATTTCCTTTCATCCTCCGTGAGGACTGTCTATCTTGTTTCTGCTGCACTGCTAGACTCAGGACATACTGGAGCAGAGTAGACCCTAAGTATTTACTAAATCAATGAGTTTTGTAAATGTTTTCTAGGGTCCCAGCTCTGTAATCTACAACAAGTTAGATAACCTGTTTGAGCCTCAGTTTGCTCAAGTATAAAATAGGGATAAAAATAATACCTACCTTAGAGGGTTGTTTTGAGGATTCAATGAGAGATGTTGGTAAAGCCCTCGGCATGGTGCCTGCCATGGCGTGAGCATCTGGTTAAAGCAAGCTTAAAAATAAAGACTATCAGTTTACACTCATGTCAGCAGATTTTGAGACTGTCACTCTTTATCCTTCCCAACATGGAATACTGTGTTTTCAAATATTTTTGTAAATATTATAGGCAAAAAAAATGGCATCTCATGGTTTTAAGGCAACACGTATTTTCAAGTCAACTGCTTTTGTTAACAAAATGGCTCAATCCTGCTGCTCCGTACCGGGTACACTGTAAAGAAACAAATATTTGGTGCTCCTCTCCCTTCCTGTCACACCTTGTTTTTGGGGGAGGGGTATCTGAGAAGGGAGCCCCCAGTGTGGAGGTGCATTGTCTAAGGCTCAGGCAGCTAAATTCCAGGTATTTTTCCCTGCACCTTCAGGTTTTACCGGTCTTCTTTCTCCTCCTATGGGAAGATATGGGGCCCACCTCTCCCCAGCCAACCCAGGTGGCTGCCTCCGCCTCAAACGTTTCCAAGTGACGTAGAACACTGCAGGCCCACAGGCCCCTCCACACTTCCTGTGTGGGGCTCAGAAACCCGCCTCCCCTCCCAGCCTTAGGTGCCTGCTTCGGAAAATGGTGAGTCTCCCTCTCACGTCCTAGCATTGGGAGCAATGGCCCCAGGGTCCTCATCTCCAACAGGCGTCTTGAAAAAGTCTTCTGGTTTCTTTTTCAGAAATAATAAGCCAACTGGCCTCCGCCATCTTAGGTAGCGTGAGTGTCCAGTGAGAGAAGGATGCAGTCGGGCAATCTCTGGAGAGTTCTAGGACTCTGCCTCCTATCAGGTGAGTAGGATGGAATGAAAAGGGATGGTGTTTCTCCAGACCTTGGGAAAGCTCACAGCCTACCCTTGTGCTGCCAAGTGGTACCAAGGAGCCTCATTTACCAAAAGATGTAAGGAACTGTTTGTGCATTGTTAGCAGGGGGAGCTAGGGCTGGAGGCTAATGAAAAAGATGTGGCCCAGGCACTGGGAGAGCTTCCAGAGAACAGCCAAAGAAAAGCAGCTGGGATGATCATATCTACTGAAAGCAAAGAGGCCTCTCTGCCTCCAAGAACAAGCTCGTTCTGTCAGTGAACTGCCCAGTCCTAAAGAACGAGCACAAAAGAGATTAGAAGAACCAACCTTCGCTCCTTGTGAGGAGACTAGATTGCTGAACCCAAATTCTGTGCAGACAATAAAACACCTCATAATTTTCAGTCCTTCTCAGTCAGCCAAGAACTTGCAATTAGTTTAGTCCTTTTTGAAGCAAGGTGGTGTATAAATTGATAAATAACGAAGAGCATTTCCATATATCGTATCAGATAAATAAGATTTTTTTAGAAGCTTGCCATTGATTGAGTCAGATATTGTGTAAAAAAAAATTCTTTACATGTGTTAACTAATTTAATCCTTACCTCCACCTTGGAAGATAAACGTTATATCCTCTATTTTACCAATGAAGAGACTGATAACTCAAAGAAGTTAAATAACTTGTTTAAAACCACACAGTTAGGAAGTGCTACAGCTGATCTGGTAAATCAGGACTGTCTATCTACAAGGCCTGTGCTGTTAATGACTGCAGTACATGAGGCAAAATGGGTCACGATGGTTTAATTTCAGAGATCTAGAAAATACCATCACAGCTGGGGCTCCTATCTCAGAGCCACAGCCATGATGTCTCCACTTCCTGCTCCATCTTGGGTTTCTCAAGCTTGAATATGCAAACAAACCACCTGAGCAGCTTGTTAAACTGCAGCTTCTGCTTCAGTAGGTCTGGAGTAGGGACTGCAATTCCACATTTCTAGTAAGTTCTCAGGCTTAATAAGTCTGCTCCTGATCCAATGAATACATTTTGAGTGTCAAGGGGCGGGGTGTGACTCCTGCAAGGAGTAGTCAGGCATTTTCTTAAACTTTCTTTAGTCTTTGCCTGAAAAGACAGAGCGGGACTATCAAAGATCTAACTACCCCTAGAGATTTGGCATCATGAGCGTGTGTCAGGTCTGCTCTGGGTGTGGGGCTGGGGCAGAGGAGGGCTGTCTCCCCCACCGCAGAGGCTGTTGATAAAAGAGAGGTCCAGCTTTTCAGAAAACTTTGAGGCAATGTCGGGGAAACTGTCGTTGTAATGAATCCAAGTTATTGCTGATTTAGGGGACTCTGGAGGGCCCAGTGGAAATGTGGTCCACCTCTTCAAGGCACAGGCTCTAGATGATGAGTAATGGCAGTTTCAAATATTTCCACCTCTGTCTCAAGCAGAAAAGAAATGAAAACACTGAACCATCAGACAAACAAGATCCAGAGACAGAACAAGAATCTCATCATTTGTACCTAACCAGGAGGTTGTTTTTCTTCCGGTCAGAGACCAATTTTCAAAATGGAGGCTTGACTGCAAAATTTGTTTGCTATTTCTCCAGTCACCCGAGAAACATCCCCAACTTTTTCTAACGTCTGTTCGTCAAATATTGTGTGTTCATGTTTAATGCTAGATGCTCCCTTTCTCTGTTTCATCCCAAGTTGTCCAGGAACCCCTGGTCAATATCCAGCAGTCCATGTCACTTACCTGGGGTATGACAATGACTATGATCCAGCGGGAGTTGGGAAGGACTTAGATGTTCAAAAATGATCAGACTAGACCACAGCACTTTTTCTGCTTGGAATTTCAGGTACTCCCAACATTTACTAACTCTTTTTTTCTTATTATTTATTTTCTAGCTGGCGCTTGGGGACAAGATGGTAAGATGTGCTTTCTTTCCTTGTTATGAAATCAGCCCAGCATTCTTTGTATTTATGAGTGGAGCTTTCTCTAGACCTCCCACAGAGCTTCCACAGAGACCCATAAAAGAGGTTTCTACCATCTTCTCCTTTGCCTTTTCCTCATAAATCTAGAGATGTTCTCACCAAGAAGAGGGAAGCCACAGAGATCATAGGAAATAATGAGTTTTCACTACTCAAAAGAAAAAGCAATGAGTCTATTAAATTAAGTCGAAAGTGCCAACACTTTTCATAAGTTTGCATTTCATATTTGACGTGGGAGTTTGTAGAGAGGACGTGGCTTAAATGCATGCCCGGGGATGCAATGAACAAAGCTCGGGGGCAGCATTAGAGTGCACACTCAGAATCTCATGTCCGAATACTCTGAATGTGTGTGTGTGCACGTGTACTCATGGGTGAACGTGCATATGAGTGTGCCTGGCCTGGACTCACTTTCTCAATCATAGCATAGAGTCAAGAGTATCCCCAATATTGGAAGCCTTTCTATTCAATCAGCTCCTCCAAACTGAGGAAAACAATTTCGTGTTTACAGGCAGCCGCTGTGCCAGTCTGCATTCCGTTGCACTGCCTAATTTGTAGTGTCCTTAGGATCATTTTTTTTTAACCATGCAGCATCCTTTAAGGTTACTGACAGATGGGACATGTCGAAAGCCCTGATAGGCTTCAAGATAACTCATCTCTTCTGCGTGCTATTTGCTATTTAGAGTAGGTTTTTGTTTATCTTTCATTTATGCCCAGTATAGATTTTTTCCCCCAGCTTTAGCAAGATATAATTGAAATATAACATGGTATAAGTTTAAGGTGTACAATGTAATGATTTGATATATATATTGTGAAATGGTTAGTTAGGATCCATTTTTGTAAATAACCATCAGTTGTTTAGTGCAGGATATAGGGCCCAAAGCAGCTTTTCATATAGAGCCATGGGGAATTTGAAGATCCATTGTTTTCTAAAGGTTGAGGGAAGAGTCCCAACTTGTGGGAGCAGGGTCTGATCTTAGTAGCTGATAGGAGAATTGCTAATGGTTTCTTATTATTTCCTTTTCAGAGACTGAAGAAACTGGTAAGAGGATTTTCATTCTATACAACCTCTTTTCAAACATGGAGCAAAATGGTCATAGAGGACAATCACAGTAATAAATACTGAGAACCAGAATTATTAGAGGGAAAATACAATTATCTTTCAATAGGATCTGTGTTAGATGTCCCTATGTTTGTTGCTAACTGTCACGTCTGGTTATAGCTAAATATGAGACATATTCCTGAGCATACATTCAGGGAAGAATAAACATGTGGGTGTAGGGTGGAGTCACCATGAGTTTTTGTGTAAATCATGAGTTCATTGAAGGCAGAGGTGGTGTCTTATTTACCTGGCCCAGTGTCTGGTGTACAGCAGGTTCTCGATGATTTTTTTTTTTTTTTTTGAGGAAGATTAGCCCTGATCTAACATCCGCTGCCAATCCTCCTCTTTTTGCTGAGGAAGACTGGCTCTGAGCTAACATCCGTGCCCATCTTCTTCTACTTTATACGGGGGATGCCTACCACAGCATGGCCTGCCAAGTGGTGCCATGTCCACACCCGGGATCCAAACCGGCAAACCCCGGGCCGCCGAAGCAGAACGTACGCACCTAACCGCTGAGCCACCGGGCCGGCCCCTCAATGGATATTTTTTTAATGAATAAATAATCACATGAAAGCATCACTAATTCCTTCCCCTCTAGATGGTCTTGATGGTCTTGTGTGAGAGACAAATAATTGATAATATAGTGTATTGCATGATATCATACGGGCAGATACAGAGTAAAATAAAATAGAAAGGGAGGAGTGGTCAACTCAACAGAAGGTAGTTGGGGAAGGCTTCCCAGAGGTGGTGATTCTTGAGCTGAGTTTTAAAGGATGAGCATGAGGCTGGCCCCATGGCCAAGTGGTTAAGTTCATGCGCTCCGCTACGGCTGCCCAGGGTTTCTCTGGTTTGGATCCTGGGCGCAGACATGGCACCACTCATCAGGCCACGTTGAAGCGGTGTCCCACGTACTACAACTAGAAGGACCCACAACTAAAATATCAACTATCTACTGGGGGGATTTGGGGAGAAAAAGCAGAAAGGAAAAAAAAGACGATTGGCAACAGTTGTTAGCTCCGGTGCCAATCTTTAAAGGATGAGCATATATTTTAGGAAAGAAGAGTATCTTAGGCAGAAGAGATAAGGCTGTGTAGTGTGAGGTTAAGAGTCTAACTCTGAGGCTAGACTGCCATATTTGAATCCCGGCTCAACTTCTTACTTGCTGAGTGTCTTTGAATAATTTTCTTAACTTCTCTGTGCCACAGCATCATCTGGTGTCAAATGAAAATAATAATGATACCTAGCTTGTAGGGTTGTTGTGAGGACTGAATGAGTAATGCACTTAGAACATTATCTGACATACAGAAGGCAGTAGATGGGAAACATGCAGACTAGATAATAAGCATTAAAGTTGATTAAGCATGCATGTTCTAGGTATTGCCCTAGATATTTTACCTGAATTTCCTTGTCTAATTCTCCTAATATCCCTCTTCCACAGACAAGGAAACCAAGGCTTGGAAATTAAATAAATAGTCCAATCACAGAAATAAATATAAGTGCAGATTTAGCTGATACTGGAGCTCATTTTCTTAACCGTTATGAAACACTGGTTATATATAAAACCCTTGTGAGCACACATCCTATTTCTCAGCCTAGACATCTAGGCCCTTGTATGAGCATGTGTAAGTCTAAATTCTGCTACTGAATTTGTGCCAATAAAAGTTGTGAGCAATTTTCTTTACATTTTTTTCTTTTTCTTTTTTTTGAGGAAGATTAGCCCTGAGCTAACTACTGCCATTCCTCCTGTTTTTGCTGAGGAAGACTGGCCCTGAGCTAATATCCATGCCCATCTTCCTCTGCTTTATATGTGGGACACCTACCACAGCATGGCTTTTGCCAAGCGGTGCCACGTCCGCACCCGGGATCCGAACCGGTGAACCCCGGGCCGCTGAGAAGCGGAACGTGCACACTTAACTGCTGTGCCACCGGGCCAGCCCCAATCTTTACATTTTTTCCCAACATACATACCAAATAGAGTGAAATGTCTATTTGCTTTTAAATTATTTTATCTATGACTTCTAGTTTATTTAACATTTCTAAGAAATATCAGCGCTGAAAAATTGTTTCTAAGTCAAAGTAATATCGACTATCTATTGTCATTATGCTCAACTCCCAATTATTAGCAGATGGATAAACCTGGAGAATGACTTGTTTACATTTCATATGATCTCAGCTGGAGAGCTGCCTGAGCAACTGGGTCAGAACTCAGTTCTGTTCTCCATTGTAGCAGGACCCAAAGGAGGAAAGGAAGAAAGTAACTAACATTTTCCTTGAGCATCTGCTATGTGCCCTCCATTTTCACCTTCGTAATCCCTTTAATTCTCACAAATACCCTGTGAGGTGAATGTTTTATCTCCATTTCCCAGATGAAGAAACAGAAGCTCAGAGAATTTAAATGACTTGCCCCTGGGTCACACTGCCTAAGGTAGATCTGGCATTCAAACACAGGGCTTCTGACTCAGTCCAGTGCTCTGTCCCCAATAGCATACTGTAGCAAAATGCCCCCAACAGGGAGAGGGCTGTCTCTGAGCATCACTGCCTCTCCTCTCTTCCAGCTCTCATATCCGGGCTTGAGCATAACCTAGTGCTGCCCCGCGTCCCAGCCACAAGTCTTCCAGGAAACGAGGATGCACTCAAGCCCCGCCTCCAAGGGCAAAATTGCCTGCCGTAGGGATTGTGGCTGGATTCCCAAATTATATTAGTGGATTTCAGTTGTCCATACCAATAGTTCCTCCCTCAACAAAAAGAATTGAGAGTTGGTTATACTCAGAGATAATTTAAAATAAAGCCATTTTTTATTAAAAGAAAAAAAAAAACATTCCCTTGGGGCCAGCACCATGGCCTTGTGGTTGGGTTCGGCATGCTCTGCTTTCGGGGCCCAGATTCATGGATTTGGATCCTGGGTGCAGTCCTACACCACTCATCAGCCATGCTGTGGCAGTGACGCACATATAAAATAGAGGCAGATTGGCACAGATGTTAGCTCAGGGCTAATCTTCCTCAGGAAAAAAAAAAGAACCATTCTCTTAAAATGTGCATAGTACTTCACATAATTTAAGGGCAATAACAGAAAAGTGGTATGGAATAAGAAGAAAGACATTTGATCTCTATTATGATGGACTCAGTTATAAGAAAGAACTTCTGGGGCTGGCCAGGTGGTACAATGGTTAAGTTTGCATGTTCCACTTCAGTGGCCCAGGGTTCACCAGTTTGGATCCCAGGTGCGGACATGGCACTGCTCATCAAGTCATGCTGTGGCAGGTGTCCCACATATAAAGTAGAGGAAGATGGGCACAGATGTTATCCCAGGGCCAGTCTTCCTCAGCAAAAAAAAAAAAAAGAAGAAGAAGAAGAAGAAGAAGTGGGGGATTGGCAGCAGATGTTAGCTCAGGGCTAATCTTCCTCAAAAAAAAAGAAGAAAGAAAAAAAGAACTTCTGAATAATGAAAAAGAGATAAGCCTGAGAATCAGTGACTCAAAGATGTGAAGGTGTTTATCTCTGAGAAGACCCTTTCATATCTATCTGGAATAAGGTTCTTGGAAGAGGAGAAGTTTGAAGACTTCTAGAATTTTTCAGTCCTAGGATTTTAAGACTTTCTGAGCTTCAGTGGATGTGGACCTAGGAGCACAGCTGGCATACTCTCAGTCTGATGTATCTGAGTCGTATCTATGAGCATACCTCTTGGGCTAAGTACATACCTCACCTTAAGGCTTGGGGATCCCTACGTAAAGGATGGGCCCTCTTTGGGAATTCTTGCGGACAGTGTCTAGTCCCACTTGAAAAATTTTACCTACAATTAAACTTAAACCAAGAATGTTTTCTCACCACTCTTTCCTTTTTTCAGTTCCAGAAAAACCCGCATCTGGACAGAAAAGTAAGTTTATCAGTCTTTTGTGTGTGTCCTTTCTGAGGATGCAGCTCAGTGGGTAGAGAAGGAATTGATTGAGACAGATTAACCCCAAGAACTGAGGTCCTCCCAACATTACATTTACAACTCCCATTTTGGACACGTTCCAAATAGGGACTTTTCAGGTTTTTCTTTATTTCCATTCCCCTCTTCCCAAGTCCCCATGTCCATGCCTAAATTCTGCAGTCACCTTCGGAAGGTCCTCTAACTCCCCTTCTCCTACATATGCTTTCCGTCGTATCCTCTGGCCAGCGGAATTCCCTTCTGATAAGAAAATCTAAGACCTGCATGATAGACGACTTTCTGCCTTTGGCTGGTTCTTTCGTTACTAATTTGCCTTTTCTGAAATCTTGCTGGTTTCTCCCTCCAATTCCCTTTCTCTTTTCTCCCACTCCCCAGGATATGAAGTCTCCATCTCCGGAACCACTGTAAAGCTGACATGCCCTGAGAATTTTGGAAACGAATTAGTATGGGAAATAAATGATAAAAAATCTGATAAGAAGGACTACACACTAGTACTGGAGAATTTTTCAGAAGTGGAGAACAGTGGTTACTATATCTGCTACCAAGAAAACTCAAAGAAGACCCATTATCTCTACCTGAAAGCCAGAGGTAATGTAGGTCTCCAGAGCAGCCACTGCTAGACTCTTTAGGGAGGGCCATCTCAATTATCTCCCCTAACGCAACTCAGAGTCCCCTGGCATCTTTGTGCTTCTCCTGTACTCAATCCTGGGACTGTCTGGGGCCACACAGCACCGATGCTTTCTGAAACATAAGGTTAAACACCAATATGGGGCTGTCGGGGTAGACTCAGTCAGCACTAGATCTAAAGCAACAACTTTCCAAGAGGCAGGATTGGGCCACTCGCATTGGATCACATCCAGAAGTATGGCACACCCATACGAGTTTATCTGATGCTTTATTGAGAGAAATTCTTGAGAGGGATTTTTGCAAAGCAGACTCAAAGCCACTGTAATAAAGTGTCATAAGCTAAGGCATAATAATAAACAATAATGATAGCTAACATTTATTGAGCGCTTATTAAGTTTTAAGCACTATACCAAACACTTGCCAGGGATTTTTTTTTTTTCATGTAATACTCTCAACAGCCATATGAGTCAGGTACTACTTTATTCCCATTTCATAGATGAGGGAAACAGAGGCTTTGTGAGGAGAAAACGCATTTCACAATGTTCACAGCTAGTGAGTAATGGAGCTGGGACTTGAACCCAGGACTTTCTGACTTCAGAGCCTCTACGTGTAACCATCTCACTTTGCTCGTTGTTACAAACATATGGAAAGGGAGGGCTCTGGCCGTGGCAAGCATGTGAGTATTGAAGGGAGAATCACCTTCATTTGTTTCTGCCTCATCTCCAGCATCCTTGTGTCTGCCTTTCTCGGTGATTTCTCTTCCTCTCACACCCCGCTGTCCCCCGCAGTGTGTGAGAACTGCATGGAGGTGGATCTGACGGCAGTGGCCACAATCATCGTAGTCGACCTCTGCATCACTCTGGGCTTACTGCTGCTGGTGTATTACTGGAGCAAGTCTAAAAAGGCCAGGGCCAAGCCTGTGACGAGGGGAGCAGATGTTGGCGGCAGGCCCCGGGGTAAGACCACGGACTTGGGTTGGAGGAGATTGCTGCTGAGGGCGGTGTCCAGCCTGGGCCAGGATGGGGGGGAAGTCCATGGCTAGGTCAAGAAAGCTTCTATAGAACATTCACTGTATTGCCAAGAGCTCAACAGATGGTTTCACATCTCAGATCACTCCTGTCCTTCCCCCCAGAAAAGTGCAAAAAAGTTTATTAACAAGACGAGCTTCCTCAGATGCCTGTCAGTGTTCTGGAGTAACCAGATTCCACCCCCAGTTTGTGGGGAGAGAGACTCTGGGAGGTTAGTTCCTGCCTTTTCCTTTCCCTTCCCCCATGGGAAAGGAAACAATGGAAGGACCTTGAGCTGAGGAAAACCACAAATTGATAAGAATAATGTGGGGGTTATTAGAAATGGGATAAAAGAAGGAAAAGAGAAAGGGTGGCTGAGATGGAAAAAGGGAGAAGTGGAGGAGAGAACAGAGGGGTTTGCCATCCTTGCTCTGGGTCTTATTGCCACAACATTGGTGTTCCCTCATGGAAATGAATTCTTTCCCCCTCCCTCCTCTGCAGGACAAAACAAGGAGAGACCCCCGCCTGTTCCCAATCCAGATTATGAGGTAATAAGGGATAGACTGGAGGAGGGGGTCTTTCATGGGGAGAAGAGGACAGGTGGGACAGTCCATCTGGCCTGCAGACACTTCAAAGCCCTTCAGTCGGGGCTCCAGGACAACCCACCATATGCCCAGCTCTGCCTCCTTCATGGTAGAATAGGACCATCTCAAGGGCAGCGGGCTTCCATAACCACAGGGGGGTAGGGGGCGACACTCTTCGTTCTCTGGCTTGTTCATTAGCTGGGATACAGCCATGTGGAATACCATATATGAAAATTCTAACATGATAAACTCAGGACTGATGTTCCACCAGCACCAAGTCATACCAGTCCTTGAAATATTAAAATACTTCACTGGTAAATAGCCCCAAGCTTCCCCCGCCCCCAACACACACTGCCAGACATCACAGCCTCTCCCTCACTGGACTGTCTCTTGATTTAGCAACTAAAGAGTTGATGTCTGGCATAGCAGAGAACCACCAGGAGTGTTCTGATGGGTTGGTGTGTGTGCAATACCAAATCGTTAAATATTTTGAATATCACACTTGGACAGATTCAACAAATATTTATTGAGCACTAGGCAAGCATGTGATATTCACTTTCAAATGAGTGGCCTCATTTAATGCTGACAAAAGCCCTGAGAGGTGGGACTTTTTTAGATTCCCATCTCTGAAACGGGAAAGCTGAGGCTCACAGGAGGAGGTAACCAGATCAAGTCCATTACCAGTCAGTGTCGAGTTAGAATCTGAGCCTGCCTCCTGACTCCTAGTCCAAGGTTCTTTTCATTGCACTAAAGCTAGGCCCTTCTTTCTTAGGAACTATTTCCTCCCACCTCACCGACCACCCCCTTTCTATTCCACTCCTAGCCCATCCGGAAAGGCCAGCGGGACCTGTACGCTGGCCTGAATCAGAGAGCCGTCTGACAGTTCCTGAGGACACTGCCTCCTGCTGGCCCAGGTCTGCTCCTCTCCAGGCACCCTGCCACTCCCTCTTCCCTGAACAAGTCTTGGACCCCACAGGAGAATCATTCCGCTGCCTCATGTGGAACTCACATCTGCAGCCTTGTCCCCAGCTCTCTTCCTCCTGCCTTCTCAGCTAGCGCCCCATCCTAGGATCTTGCTGCCTCATTGTCCTTTGAAACATCATCGCCCCTCATCCCCTCACACCTGGGCTGCCCTCTTGTCAGGATATTTATTTCTGTTATTCACCCTCTCCCCAATTCCTTCCTTCCATGGTGGACATTACTTCTCCCTTCAGTTGTCTCCTTTTCCAGCATATAAGTTGCCCCCATTCCTAACTATTCCGTCTATCTTTCTATTTTTCCAGCTCTCCCTTTGGCAACCGTCTGTGGGAATGGACTAGGTAAATGAGACAGCCCTTCGCTCCCTCCCCCTGTCTCCACTGTAGGCCCCTGGATGTTCGTTTGCATCTCCATGAATGTGCTAGGCTCCTTGTCAGCTGAGAGAGAAAAGAAATAAAGTGTATTTGGCTGAAAGAGTTGCTGTCCCTCTTTTCTGGGACGCCCTCAGAGGCTGCCTTGTTTCCTGAGACAGCTCAGGTCCTCCCTACCTGGACTAAACCCCCAGCTATGATCCCAAATGCAAGTACTAGCTGTTTTCACAGCTGGTGGGGGTATTATCTCAAGCTCTTTTCAGAGAGGGCATCAGAGAATAAATAAAATAGAAAGAGAGAGACAAAAGAGGAAGGAAGGAAGGAAGGGGGGAAAAGAGGAAGGAAGGAAGAGAAAGAAAGAAAGAACAATTAGCCATTTGACTAACTTCTCTTGGAGAAAAACATCAAGGGTGGCAGAGAGTGACTGATGGGCCCCTGATGGCATGGTCAGTTCAAAAAAATGCGTGAAACAGAAACAGAGGCCTTAAAAGGCATATGAAGGCAGCTGACGAGAAGAGTGGAGGTGTAAGGGGGCTGGGGGCTGGGACGCAGGTTTCCACAAACTGCCTCGAAAAGGAAAACCCCGTGAGCCCGGGCTGCGGGAAGTGGGAGAAGGAGGTGCTGTCAAGCCGGTACCACTCCCTCCACTCTGAGACGCAGCAGCTTGCAGCAAGAAGCAGGCTGCGGTTTAGCAGCCAGGATGTGGGCTGCACTCTGGGCGAGGGTGAGAGAGGTGCAGCAGCAGCCAAAGGCCACCGTGGGAGGGCTTCGTTCTCTGTCTACCGGGGCACACACTCAGCTTGTAGAGAGAGGAGGGCAGAGCACTGAAGTTCTGTCTTAGACCAGCTCAAGCCGTGGCTCTCTTCTCTCCCTCTCTGCACTCAGAAACTTCCCTGCTGACCACAGGGCTATTTATGTGTGTGATCAAGGCTAAAAAAACCATCTGTGGTTAGCAGCCCTCCACATACTGTACGCATTCAGCCTTGGGCTTGTGGCTACAGTTTTTATTTGTTGGTCTCTGCTGAAGCTCTACTCCTTTCTCTCTAAGTACTCAACACTTAACGCTCATAAGAAGTCTCCTTGATGTTGACCATTACTAGCTGCTGATCAGCAGGCTGGCCCAGGGGTGGCAGTTTTGTCCTAGGTATATTTGACGGTGCCCGGTCAAGGGGAGTTGTGGCTCAGCATGATAAAAGCAATAGCAACTAACATTTAGTGAGCATCTACTAAGCTCTAGAAATTGTGCCTAGCACTTTACACGTGTTATCTTATTTAATCCTTATGACAACTCAACAAGGTGGAAGTTGTTGTTCTCTTACAGATGAGGATATGGGGGCTCAGAGAGGTTAAGTCTTTTGCCCAAGTTGCACAGTTATTGAGGGACAGAGCCAGAATTAGCAGCCAGGACTGTCCAACCCTGGTACAGAGGTGACTAGCTACCCAGTGCCAACTGTGATCATAAAGAATTCTCTGCATTTTCCTGACTTAAAAGCTCTGTATTTAATTGTTTAAGTATTCCTTCCATGAGCACTGTTGTGAGCACTCGTGTGGCAGCCCAGCACTGTGCTGAGTGCTGAGGAGACATAAATAAAACAGTTCCTGTCTTCAAGGAACTTGCAATTACGTAAGAGTGGCCAAGTATGTAAAAAGTTAAGAGCAACAGAGGAGCAAATGTGATTAAGTATCAGGAGTGCCGCAGGGTGACCGCTGTTCCCAGGAGGAATAGAGAGCTGAAGCAGTCCAGGAAAGCTCCGCGGAGGAGCAGAGACTGAGGAGAGACTTGATCTGGGCCTTGAAGAGAAAGATGGATACAATTTGAAGACAAAGGAGAAGGCACTCCACTCACTGAAGATGAAATAGATAGCTAAATAGCCCTTTAGCTAGTAAATAAGTTGAATTTATAGTTAAAAACCTTTCCACAAAGGAAACTCCAGACCAAGATGGCTTCATTGGTGAAACGTACCAAACATTTGAGCAAGAAATAGTGCCAGTTCTATGCAAACTCTTCCAGAAAATTAAAGAGGGATTACTCCCAACTCATTCTATGAAGACCAAATTGAACCCGTGTAGTGGTTAATTTTATGTGTCAACTTGGCTGAGCCATGGTACCCAGTTATTTGATCAAACACATCTGGATATTGTTGTGAAGGTATTTTTTAGTTGAGATTAACATTTAAATCAGTAGACTTTGAGTAAAGCAGATTACTCTCTATAATGTGGATGATCCTCATCCAGTCAGTTGAAGGCCTTAAGAAAAAACAGACTAAGGTCCCCTGAGGGAGAAAGAATTCTCTGCCCACCCTGCAGATTTTGGATGTATCAGCCTTCACAATCGCATGAACTAATTCCTTAAAATAAATCTCTCTCTCTTCTCTCTTCTCTCTCTCTTTGTATCTGCACACACACCCTATTGGTTCTGTTTCTCTGGAGCATGCTGACTAATCAAATGTGATATCAAAACCACACAAAGACATTACAAGAAAAGAAAACTGCAGACCAATATCCCTTATGAATAGATGCAAAAGTTCTTCACAAAATTTTAGCAAATTTAATCTAATAATATACAAAAAATACATAGTGATCAAGTACAGTTTATTTCAGGAATGTGGTATTGGTTTAACAGATCATGTCACCAAGTAATTTACCCTATTAACAGACTAAAAAAGTAAAACCATATAATCATCTCAGAGGATGCAGAAGAAACGCTTGACAATAATCAATAGCTATTTTTGCTAAAAATTCTCAGCAAACTAAGAAAAAGAAGGGAATGTCCTTAACCTGTTAAAGGGGCACCTAAGAAAAACCTACAACCAACATCATACTTAATGATGAAAGACAATGCCTTTCCCGTAAGATCACAAACAAGGCAAGAATGTCCTCTCTCCACTTCTATTCAACGTTGTACTAGAGGTTCTAGCCAGTGCAATAAGCCAAGAAACAGAGGTAAAACACATCCAGATTGGGAATGGAAAAGTTAAACTGTCTTTATTCACAACCAACATTATCATCTACGTAGGATGTCTAACAGGATGTACCAAAAAAAGCTACCAGCATTAATAAGTGAGTTTAGGAAGTTTTCAGGGTACAAGATCAATGTACTAAAGTAACTGTATTTCTATATATTATCAATGAACAATTGGAAATTGAAATTTTAAAAATACCATATACAATAGCATCAAAAAATATGAAATATTTAGGGCTAAATCTGACAGAAGATGTGTTCATGGATTGGAACACTCAATATCAGTAAGTTGTCTGTTCTCCCCAAGTTGATCTATAAATTTGATGCAATCCTGATCATGATTCCAGGAGACCTTTTGTAGTAATGAGAAGTCAATTCGTTTGGGAGGGCAAAGGACTGAGAATAGCCAAACTGCTTTCTTTAAAAGTTGTAACCCAGCCTTTCCAATCCTGAGTATTTATCCAATAGAAATGAAAGCATACGCTCACATGATGACTTATACACGAATGTTCGTAGCACTTTATTTGTAATAACCAAAACAGGAGACAACCCAAAAGACTGTCAACAGGTGAATGGATAAGCAGCTTGTGGTATATCCATACAATGAAATACTAATGAACAATAAAAAGGAATGAACTATTGATGGATGCAACGAGATGGGTGGATCTCAAAAGAATTATGCTTAGAGTAAGAAGCGAGACCAAAAACAGTACACATTATATTATTTCATTTATATAAAATTCTAGAAAAATTAAAACTAATCTATAATGACAGAAAGCAGGTCAGTGGTTGCCTGGAAGGTGTGGAGATGAGGAGAGGAAGGAGGCGGGGATTCTGTGCAAAGGGGCAGAAGGAAACTGGTCAGGGTGTTGGATATGTTCATTATCTTCACTGTGGTGATGTTTCATGTGTATATGTGTGCCAAAACTTATCAAATATTACACTGTAAATATATGCGGTTTATTCATGTCAGTTTACATCAGTAAAGGTGTTTTTTAAAAGTACAAAAAAGGGAGCCGAATGGCTCAGGTGGAGGGCAATGTTTCTCAACCTTGGCTTCACTTGAGACTCACCTCAGGCCGTTTTAAAAGTCCTGATGCCCCAGCCCAATATACTGCAATCAGATTCTAGGAGTGGCACCCAGGCATCAGTATTTTAAAACTCCCCAGGAGATTCCAACGCGCAGCCAATGTTGAGAACTGGCGAGAGGTATAGGGAGACGTAAGAGCATATGAGGAATGCCAGGTGAAAGGAAGTGTGCAGGGTGTGGGAAGGATCCAAGTGTTGGTGCAATACAACCACGGAAGGGTTGCCCAAAGTGGAGTGATCCAATGTGAAAACAGGACCTAGGGTTAGGAGGACTACAGTAGTAGTAAGGACATAAAGAGTAGGAATAAATCATATCCATGAATGAAACGTGTAGACTGGAAGTTCATCCTGTCTCTAATAAAAGTAGTCTGTGTCTATCTCAAGGAGATAGTGGGCAGAATCATCCAGATCTGCGGTTATGTGGTTGTTAATCCTTTTCTCCTTTGGGAAGCCTGGTCTAGGAAACTCCCACTCTCATTAAACTGTCCTGAGGTTCATTAAATTACTCTTACTCAGAGAACAAACTCTTATCCCACCTATGGTAGACAGGAACAGGCATGAAGGACTCAATAGTCTAAGTGGCCTCAGTTCTTCCTCTAAACCAGAGACTCTGAATTGGGGCTGCTTCAGAATCACCTGGGGACTGCATGCCTAGAGTGGGGCCCAAGTGTCTATATTTTTAACAAATCTCTCAGGCTCCCAAAGTTTTAGAATCATCACTAACCCACTAGCTGAAGATAAGCTCTATTAAAAATATCCCAAGCCCCCACCCAGTCTCAAATTCCGGCTTCCCAAGAGAGTGGAGAGGGATAATGTGTTTTAACTGATATAGGGTTCCTGATAGCAGTTTATCATGCAGAAGTCAGGGCCAGGTCTTGGAAGGTTCTGGGGAAAGAAAGACAAATGATGCCTTCTATACAGGAGAAAAGAGTACTGAAGGGGCCTGGGCTGAGACCTCTTCACAGCTAGTGGCTACCACTCCACAGGGGTCATAAATCCAGGGCCAGTCCCTTAGCAGAAGGGGGACTTTGTGGTCACCACACTCTCTGAGTCT